AACTCTGCCCCAAAAAGCAAGTCACCTGAAAAGGGGAGATTGCATAACCTCAGCTTTGAGGCCGCATCTCCCTCCCATGCTTTCAACCACAGGGCCCTGCGGGAAGAGTTAATAAGGGCTGAAGATCTGGCCGACATCCGCACAGATTCTGCTGATGCGTCTGCAATATAACCTACCGCCTTGAAGAGCATAGGTAGCTACTCCAAGAGTTGTGCTCTCGGGGTACCCGCCAGCAGATGCGTTCTAAATTGCGAGAGCCAAAACTCCATGTTTCTGGCCACGCACGTGGTAGCCAGAGCCGGTCTAAGGTTCATCGAAGAAGAGTCCCATGCCCTTTTCAAAAGAACCTCAATCTTCTTATCCATGGTGTCCATGGTGTAACAGAGCATCCAGCTTAGGAGATTTATTCCACACCAAGGCTGGATCCTCATCAAAAGCAAATCTCCTCTTGAGTTTCCCTGACTTCAGAGGCTTTCTCTCAGGCTCAGCCCATTCTCTGACAAGACCTTATGTACCGGGAAGCATTTAGACTTTTTAAGCTGCAAACCCTGATACATAAGGTCATGTCTGGATAACTGCACCTGCTCTTCCTGGATCTCTAACGTGCTATAAATTGCAGTCAGTAATTCATCCACATCCTCCAAGGATAACTTATACCTGGAAGAGCTAGGTACATCGTCTTTGACACTCCCTTCCTCGGATGATGAACCACCCTGAGAAGGACCGGGCTCGCTAAGATCCTCCCGCTCAGAAAGCCGTAAGGATCCCGTCGGCCCCCCCTGAGCAGCCAGGACAGAGGCAGAAAAAGGCACAGGGGTAGAAGCAACTGTGGGAATTGGAGCCCGGAACCCCTCTAAAACAGACCTAAAGGAATTAAACGTAGCCGATAACTCCTCCTTAACAGAAACCAACAGGTTGCTACTGGCTGCAGCAGACTCTTCCCTAAGAAGATCTCCAATGCATTTCTGACATAGGGTTTTAATATAACCGGAGCTCAATTTCACCGCACAAATTGCACATTTTTTCTTTGGGGCCACCTTCGTCTTTTCTTTAACCTGAAAGACACCAAGGAGCCCTGTTACCCACTGTCCTTTACTCAAAAATGGGGTTAGAGTGTCCCTCAACACCAAAGCATCCAACACCAAGGGACCCCAGGTGGAGGAAAAGAAATATCAGAGGTAACAGGGAGGTAAGATAATACACATCTTCCATACCTGAGCCGTGCTGGTGCTTTGAAGACCGGTATCCGCAGTCACTGCAAGCTGCAGAGGTAACCCAGGATCCATGTCTGCAGAGCCTGTTGAAGAGAAGCCTGCCAGCGTTTCCTCTCAGTCACTACTGAGATCCACGCTGTATTAAGCACCAGCCGAGCCCTCCCCTTCCTCCTGCGCCGAAAACGAGGCTTGGAACGCACAAGCCCGGCGCCCGGAAATGACGTCACCCGCGCCGGAAGTGACGTACGCGGCCACCCGGTCTGGCCGTGGAACACGTCCCGAGGCCCTGAGAACCGGACAGACCCCTCTGAACGGCGGTCCACCGATTCCCCTGACCAGCCAAGGGGGTTTCGTCCTCCCGGTCCCGGCCCGCACTGGGCACTGAAGGGGGAAAGGAAGCCAGCCTCATCTCCTGCAGCGCTAGGAGAATCCCTGGGGCTCACACAAGGTAGGCAAACCTACACCCTCTGCCTTACACAGGCAGCCATAAACAAAAGAAGACTTCCCGGGCAGCATCACCACATGGAAGCCCCTCTCAGCGTTCTGTGACGTGCTCCCCAGCTTGACTGAGGAAACACAAAAGACTGAGGGAGTGGAGGAGAGGAGGGTCTTTTAAGCAAATTAAGTGACGTGTTTCCTGTGTGTGGGGGAGGAGATTCCATCTCGTGATGCTGTCCTGGAAGACGTTATGGGAAAAACTAATGATGGAAGAAGATAGGGACACCACAGTGCCTTCCAGGGACTCCCTTAGGACTTACACTCTCGGCCTCGTAGGGGACACCCCAGGTTTTTCTGTACTCTGCCAGCTGGAAGCAGCGGCGGTTCCACAGAGACGGTGTGAGGGGGCGTGGCCACCATTCCCGCATAGACCAGCCTGCTAAGGCCGCTAAGCAAACAGGAGGGGGTGGAGCTACACCTTCGTCTGTGGTGTGCTGAGACGAGGCCTCGACAAATGCGTAGATACCGCCACGTTCCCCGCATCTGTCAGATCAGTGGGCGGAAGGAGCGGAGCCGCAGCAGAAGGACGAAAGAGAAGCATGCGGCTCCGGAGCCGCGGGTTGCCGACCCCTGGTCTAAAGTATTAATTAGTACAAGGCGAGATGGGTGGGGGAGGGTAGTTTTTTTGCAAGGTGGAGTTTGACTTTAAGACCAGACTTTTTACTATTCTGTTAGTACTACCCATATTTAAGTAATTGACAATATCTGGAAGAGAATGGATGGCAGTCCTGAAAGTTCTTGCTAAAGGTCTACCACTGAGAAATTGATGAGACATAGAAGAACCTGTTGTATCATGGAATAGCTGTAAAATTGTACAACTGTTATTGCACTGCAATGGACATTTTTACACACCTGAACCTTTTTTTTAAGCAGCACACTTCCATGCACAGATGGTCTACATTTGTACATTTCTGTACACTAGAATGCACGTGTTCATGCACTCACATGTGGCATTGGGGTTTCATTCAGGATTAAGGACCAATTACATTTTACCACAGGTTAGCGCAACACACACACGTGTGAATTTGGCCTTAGATTTTATAGTCTGATTGTTTTTATTATACAATGATTCAATTAATTTCCAGTTCATGAGAAATGATTTAAATTATCCGCCTGGATGGCACTACATCTAGCTTTGGTTCCCACAGCAAATAACCCTTTTATTTATAAAGCAAATCTGACATTTTTTATACTATTAAACCTCAATAATTATCCCCTAGGAGAATATGACTCTTGGCTCATCAGTCCATCCATTTGAAGTTCTTCCCATTACAGACATTAATTGTAAATATATGAAGTGGTTGTGCTTTCCACTGGGAAATAAGAGCCAGTTGAAGACAGTGCAGAGGCTGGTGAGGTGAAGTGACATACATTTGGATGATAGAGACATTTGCACACCACTTAGATTAGGTCAAGCTGCTATAGATTGAATTAAGACTTTCCTAGTAAAAAAAAGCAGCATATAATGATGTGTTATAATCAATGGATAAAAAAAAAAAACACGTGCCCTCACAACTGACCTGAGACACTATAGTAAGACTTTTTTTTATCTGAAGAACTATAAGAAAAGTAAACAATTGCTGGCTTTATTTTATTGTTGAACTACCAAGCTTTATTGAGTGATGAGAAAAGGGTAATTCAGGACATCAGTCTTTAAACAAAGCCGCATTCAGACATTTGAGGAACTTTATAAGATTTAAAGTTCCCCTCCAGTAAACCTTGGATTTCATGGAGGCACGTGAAAAATTCTAATTTTATGTAACTTTTATCACAAAATAAAAGCAATACCACAGAGCATAAGGATGCTGGAAATATTAGAGCCAGAATGGAGACTTTAAAAAAAGTGAGCTGAAATCACTAAGGGGTCTATTCACAAAGCTGCCGAAGGATCTGGCCGTAGCTTATATATATATCCCAATAACAGGGGAGGGTGCTCGCAATAACTGCGGATGGTGCCGCTGTACACATGAACAGTTTCAAAGAAGTATCCTTATCCAAAAAACAGTTCCAAAGAATGTCACCAGCACAGGGAAGTATCCTTATAGGATCACCAAATGTTCATTTTATTGAACAATCGTCAAATGAACAAATTTATTGAACAAATTGTTCAATAAACGCCCTCCCTCCCTTAAAGCTGTGATTATGGGGGTTTTCGGGGGTTCTTTTGTCACGGCAGCTTGGCGGGTTAGGGGGTCTTTGGGGGGTCTACAAAATCGGAGTTGATTACAAAAATGGGGGGCCCTCAGCTGGTATGGGTGCCTCCCCCTGTTGGTGTCCGGATTTGTTGGTGTCCGGATAAGTGTCCTCGAGCTGGTTGTGGTGCTGCTGGGGACATGGGTGGAGTGGTAGGAGAGGCCTTTTTGGGCTGTTGGGCACCCAAAGACCCCTTTTCAGGTCAACCATCATTTACAGTATTATTTGTATATATTCTTTAGTTTATTACTTTTGGTTATTGTTAAAGTTGTTTGGTTTAATAAAAGGGCTGCTGTGGCTGTTAAAATCCATGTCACGCAGTACGAGTGTTTATTGGGGTTTTGAACGAAGGGACGAAAATTGACGAATCCATCAGTCAAGACAACAACCAGCCAGAAGACAGAATGTGATGATTTATCTTTCTCTATTGAAAGTTTATGCTGCATGCAAGTAAAAATGTCAAAGCAGTTGGATGAAAATGTCCATAATTCTATAAAACAATCTCCCTTACTGTGAGAATAGCGGTAATTAAATGTTTGTTTCTATCGCCTTCTTTTGCTAGCCAAAGGCGTCATTATAGTGTTACTGTTCACAGCCAGCAATTGTGATTGAGACTACAGCCTACAAAGCAATACAATGAAACCTGAAGCTGCAGCTGTCTGTATAATTGAGTCTGAATGTATTTAATGAGAGTTGTGCGGTTGTTGTAGCCTTGGCACTGCTTCTGTTTCTAGGACCATTATGTACCAGCACATGTCTATATTTAGTTTCAGGGCACCATCACTAGGATACTTTAAACATCAGTCCCCCGGATGAGACATAATTGTGGTTTGTATTTATTGATCAGCTCAAATGCTCTTGGGAGAGTCTAGGTAGTGAGATTGTGGTTTCATGAGTTTTTCTGTCTATAGCAATAAATATTACACTGGGCGAATCAACGTCACCATCAAAAACGATATCAATCCCATGATGGCAGGTTTAAAGTTGAATTCCAGGCAAGCAGCCAAATTCACTGATAAATATACATATAAGACATTTTACCTGTCACAGGATTATTATTTATGTCAATCCGGTTCTGAGATTTTCACAGCTCTGCCACAAGCACAGTCCTTTCTAGCAGGGCAGCAGACCTGATATTTCTCCTATCAGTATGGCAAAAGGATGATACCAAATCAAATCCAAGTACATAACTGATTGTAAAAAAAGAAAAATGAATGATGTATTGAATACAGAGATGCATCAATTTGTGTCCTGGTGATTGGTTATTTAATGGGTGCAATGACTGGAGATTTCATCGGGAAAATCTCCAGTTTAGAGTTCCCAAGTATATAACAAGTAGTAACACCAGATACTAGTAGTCATTCATATTTGAAAGGTCAGTATTCTGTGATTTAATGTAGCTTGTTAGGCCCCTGCCTAACTGCATAGATCCTCTCCTCATCAGAGCAGTATTGAGCAGATGTCATCTC